GTGTGGACGCCGGCACCTACGGGTAAAGCCCTGGGCCGGCCGTGTGAGTGGGTGCAGAAGAGGACCTTTGATGACCCTCGAGGTGGAGGAGGTGATTTCTCACCCCCATCCTCTGCACTTTTTGTTCATCTGGAAGGAGTTTAGTACGAGTCAGGGTGGGGAATCTGCGTGTTTAGCATGACTGCAAAGCCAACGCGGCCAAATTAACCACCTCTGCCTCTGCATGGGACCCCTAGTGTTCTCTGCCTCATTTGCTTCTCTGCTGTCTGATTTATAGTTGCCTACCTGGGCTGTTCTCAGCTCACAGGCTGTCTAAAGGTCACATGAAAAATGAATGGCTCTTCGGTGCTGGGGAAGAACTCAGGAGGAGACGCAGAGAGTCAGGAGGGACTGAGATGATGCCTGAATGCTTATGTCTGGTTTCAGCTTCATCTTGATCTTTTTTTAAACCGTATTCATGTAGCTTTAATGTGTGTGTGGTCTGAGACACGACGTAAGTGTGTCTGTGTTACTCATGACTGTGAAGCCTCTTCAGATAAAGCAAAGACAGTGAATTAAAGCAATAGTGAAAAAGAAAAAAAACCACCCACGGTTCCATATGAATGACTGTGGATTAAAGAGCCGTCGTCAATACTCGCGTCAAACCAACACCTCCACTTCAAGTTGAATGAAACGTCATACGCATATATTCTAACATTCATACTTCCCTGCAAATGTGTGTCCGTGATCACCGAATAATCGCGTAGCCTTCGCACGCATGCGTTTTTGTACGTTTCTGTGTGTTTGTCGGTTTGTGTGTCTGTTTTTCAATTAAGTTTAAGCTGCGACAGCACTCTCTCACAACTCTCATATTTTGGTCTCCAAGGTGATAAATAAATTATATTTTGTTACCTTCCCTGTGGGGTATATTATTTGGTCTGTCTCTCTTTCTCTGTACAGCTTATGAGCTGCAGTAGTCTTTGGACACCAGCTAAGAACTTAGTGCCTAGGTAACCAGCCCTACAGAGGCAGAACACCTGCCACCGTTTGTTCAGCTCCTTTCTGTGTGGAAACTGACTATATAAGAGCAAAAACTTAAACTTGCCTTGTACAAAGAAGGTTTGAGTGTCAACATTATTTGTGTAGCTTAGGGAAAAGCTTGGCATTTGAAGACAGAAGGGATAGGAAAGGGGCTGAGGGACTCACAGGATTTAATCAGTGTTTTTGCTCTGTTATTGATCAGTCAGTGTCAAGCCATGCTGTTGCATTTTCACTCTGCATGTGAAAAGGACAACAAAAATTAAACATTGTTCACCGACTCTCCCTTCTCCATCTTATCCATGGATTTAGTTAAATTTTTTCCCGCTTTTGAAGAATAGATCTTGTATAGAGTAAATACAAACAGTCTAATAAAGTACAGTGTACATGCCTGCAGCAAATAAAGTATAATAGTTTGCTAAATATTGTGATATTTCTTTAGGAATAAGAATCTTTCATCCAACCCAAACCGAACATGCATAATATGCCTCTCAAGAAACAACAATGGAAACCTTGACTATACTGTGAAAATTCAGTAATGAAAATCCTGCTTGCAGAGTCACTCGCTACTGGTTTAAGTATTCAGACAATAAATTTTGTTTTCGAATTGAATATCTGAAGCTTTTTTTGTATATTTCATGTTCGCAATCTTACTGCGCCTAAGCCTAATTAGCTTGAGTGTGGTCACTCAGAATGGTTGTACTTTACACTCAGGATCATATTGCCTGTGGTTTCAGGCTATGTTTTGGTACCAATATCCACTTTATTTTTAACGTACGAGTGGGTGCGGCTATTTGTAACTTGCTGCCGTCTGCTTGCAGTTATTTTAGCTGTACAAAAACAGTCTGTCATGCTGCTTGATATCACAAACTTTTCATATTATTTCAATTTATTATCGTAATCATAAACACACTGGTTTGTAGCACAAACAGTTTCACCATTTACTGCACTTTGTTCTTCTTCTAAGCATTTAAGGAATCGGAAGTCTTGCACATTCACAGAAAAAGCCGATTACTTCATCTAGATATTAGGAAAACCCCTTAACGTTGAAAATAAACTACTGCAGTGAAGTCTGGCACCTTTGAGGCCCTAAATTGACTGTGTATTGACACGGGAAGCAACAGCAGAGGCAGCGTTCTGCCTGTCACAGCCTCTCCCTTTCTCCCTCCAAACTCACCGATCCATGGACCGAGAGGGAGGGAAGGGGGCTTACCGCTCTTGCGGAGTCTGTGTTTGTGTGGGCGGGCAAGAGAATGCCTCACTATAGATTTTCCAGCAAATTAATGAAGGTACTGTGCGAACGAGGCGGAGGGAAGAAGCGAGAGAGCGAGATAGAAAGCCCCTTCTGCGGCGCGGAGAACTGAGGGAAGCCCTTGCAGCGGGGGCGAGAGCCGAGCAGCTCCCTCACCCTTGATCTTTCAGCTGGCCGTGGGTGTGTGGACGCCGGCACCTACGGGTAAAGCCCTGGGCCGGCCGTGTGAGTGGGTGCAGAAGAGGACCTTTGATGACCCTCGAGGTGGAGGAGGTGATTTCTCACCCCCATCCTCTGCACTTTTTGTTCATCTGGAAGGAGTTTAGTACGAGTCAGGGTGGGGAATCTGCGTGTTTAGCATGACTGCAAAGCCAACGCGGCCAAATTAACCACCTCTGCCTCTGCATGGGACCCCTAGTGTTCTCTGCCTCATTTGCTTCTCTGCTGTCTGATTTATAGTTGCCTACCTGGGCTGTTCTCAGCTCACAGGCTGTCTAAAGGTCACATGAAAAATGAATGGCTCTTCGGTGCTGGGGAAGAACTCAGGAGGAGACGCAGAGAGTCAGGAGGGACTGAGATGATGCCTGAATGCTTATGTCTGGTTTCAGCTTCATCTTGATCTTTTTTTAAACCGTATTCATGTAGCTTTAATGTGTGTGTGGTCTGAGACACGACGTAAGTGTGTCTGTGTTACTCATGACTGTGAAGCCTCTTCAGATAAAGCAAAGACAGTGAATTAAAGCAATAGTGAAAAAGAAAAAAAACCACCCACGGTTCCATATGAATGACTGTGGATTAAAGAGCCGTCGTCAATACTCGCGTCAAACCAACACCTCCACTTCAAGTTGAATGAAACGTCATACGCATATATTCTAACATTCATACTTCCCTGCAAATGTGTGTCCGTGATCACCGAATAATCGCGTAGCCTTCGCACGCATGCGTTTTTGTACGTTTCTGTGTGTTTGTCGGTTTGTGTGTCTGTTTTTCAATTAAGTTTAAGCTGCGACAGCACTCTCTCACAACTCTCATATTTTGGTCTCCAAGGTGATAAATAAATTATATTTTGTTACCTTCCCTGTGGGGTATATTATTTGGTCTGTCTCTCTTTCTCTGTACAGCTTATGAGCTGCAGTAGTCTTTGGACACCAGCTAAGAACTTAGTGCCTAGGTAACCAGCCCTACAGAGGCAGAACACCTGCCACCGTTTGTTCAGCTCCTTTCTGTGTGGAAACTGACTATATAAGAGCAAAAACTTAAACTTGCCTTGTACAAAGAAGGTTTGAGTGTCAACATTATTTTACAGTCCTGTGTAACTTTAAGTAACACACATATTTATTATATATATATATATTAGGGATGCACCGATACCACTTTTTCCAGTACTCGCCCGATACCGATACTTTTATTTTTGTATAAAGTTTACACATAAGAAAAATGATAGAATAATGTAAGACTGCTGATTGGTTTCATATTATGTTGGCCCTTAATAAAATGTTAAAATATATAGCAGCATGTATTAATTATTATTGAACTATCAAGTGTTTAATGTGAAGAAATAAATTATACCATTAATTATTAATTATAGGAAGCATACTCGCGAAAGTTGTATTTATTATTGGTTGCCCTTTTTAAGTCAGAATCTTAAAATAATACACTTTCAATTTTGTATGGATCGGTATTATCATCAGTTTATTTTTTTTATTTATTGGTTAATTATTTTTTGTTCAATTTTTTTTCAAAAGCTCTCTGCTGCACATTTACTGCTTTTTTTTATGCCATATATAAATTAAAACGGAATATATATATATATTCTGTTTTAATTTTTGTGATGTGATTTTTTTTTTTATATTTCAGTTTAGCTTTATTTTGATTTCATTTTTAATCATTTTTTTAAATCACTTTCTGCACTTTTTATTTCCGTAAGTTGCCAAGGCGGTATTTCTAATTTTCGTTAAGTTTTATTTTTCCATTTCATATTTCCATTTTATTTTATTTCTGCTTTGTTTCATTTCATGAAAATGAAATGAAAAAAGTTTTAGTTCTAGTCAACTATAAGAACACTGCACCATACATCAGTCAGTAATAGTGTTTTATCCCCAGTACAGTCACTCATGCATTTGCGGTGCACCACTGAGTTGGTATTTTAATAGCTTGGCCCAATGTGAAGTTATAAAGCAGAAGTGGGATGGATACTGATACTCTAAACACCAGAAACTGTTTTTCTATTTTGTAACTAATGATAAGAGTTCACCAAAGGTTTTGTTGTGTCTGGCTTCCAGCATTAGAAATGAGTGGCTGATGTTTATTTTTAACAAGGTCTCTGATCAAGCCCCATGTTAGTCTGACCTTAACAGATTGTGAGGCACATTTTTTTGTCACAATGAATACAGGCTTTGCAAACAATCTTACTAAAAGATGCAGCACTACCATTTATGTTAGACCTGACCACAAATGCAACCCATAAGCACTGTTAATCATTTCACATGTGAAGACGCCTGTGAATCTTGAAGGTACAAAAGCAAAAGTTGATCTCTTTATTTAGTGTCAGAGAAAGAGAGTGGAAAATGGTCATGGAAAACTAACCTTGACTAACTATTTTTATTTCATTTTTTAATTTTGTTTTATTTTTCGAAAAGGTAATACTTCTGTTCAGCAAAGACACCTTAAATTGTTCAAAATTGACAGCTAAGACAACATTATCTTATTTTCTATTCTCTCTTTTGTTAAGGGGCCAGGTGAAACCAGTACTAGGGAGGTTCAGTGAGCTGAATAACCTGCTCCCAGCACTGGGTTTGGGTCCAGGAGGTGTGGATGCTGCCCTTCTGGACGCTGGATGCTCCTCCATGCAGATGGATTCAGCAGAGAGGGGCTTCTCCCTCAGCAAGGATGGACCGCTGGACATGAGGATGGATGGAGACAGGTTCGACTATTACCTCGGCTCACTTCTGTTTAGTAGAAGCACTCATTGTCATGAATGTTCCAAGAATCATTTGTGCTATTAGTAATGCCTGATTCACTCTCGATATACACTGATGGCCACAGTTATTATTCTTGGCTCACTCGTTTATTGATTACATCTACAGAGTCTCCATGCTTCTCTATTATAGCTATTCAAAAACTAATTCTGAACAGGTGTAAGGCATAACCTAATTACAGCTTAATACAATAAAAAGATGACTAAGCTCTGAAGAGCCCGCTGATTCACAGACAGAGCTTTGAGGGACACATGGAATGTTAGCGTTAAGATAGTTGGTGAATGAACAGAACTAATTTAGGTAGTGAGAAAGAACCCGCCTCGCCCCAAAGCTCAGGTCACAGTATTTCTTAAACGGATAGTTCACCCAAAAATGAAAATTCTGTCATTAATTACTCGCCCTCATGTCGTTCCAAACCCGTAAGACCTTTGTTCGTCTTCGGAACACAAATTAAGATAGTTTTGACGAAATCAGAGCTCTCTGACCCTGCATAGATAGGAACGCAACTAATTGTGACCCTGGACCACAAAACCAGTCATAAGGGTCAATTTTTTGACATTTAGATTTATACATCACCCGAAAGCTGAATAAATAAGCTTTCCATTGATGTATGGTTTGTTAGGATAGGACAATATTTGGCCGAGATACAATTATTTGAAAATCTGGAATCTAAATATTGAGAAAATCGCCTTTAAAGTTGTCCAAATGAAGTCCTTAGCAATGAATATTACTAATCAAAAATTAAGGTTTGATATATTTATGGTAGGAATTTTGCTTAAATATCTTCATGGAACATAATCTTTACTTAATATCCTAATTATTTTTGGCATAATAAAAAAATTGATAATTTTGACCCATACAATGTATTTTTGGCTATTGCTTCAAATATATCCGTACTACTTTTTTTTTTACAGTTTTTGTGGTCCAGGGTCACAATTTAGTAAGGACATTGATAAAATAGTCCATGTGACATCAGTGGTTCAACCTTTTATGAAGCCTTTTCAATTTTATGAAGCTATGAGAATTTTTATGCGCAAGGAAAACAAAAATAACGTCTTTATTCAGCAATTTCTTCTTTTTGGTTTTCTTTTTTGGTTTTCTCTTTACGTTTCTATTTTAACGATGTCCTTACTACCTTTCTGGGCCTTGAATGTTGTAGTTGTGTTGGGTTCAGAATGCTCTCGGATTTCATCAAAAATATCTTAATTTGTGTTCTGAAAGTGAACGCAGGTGAGAATTTTCATTTTTGGGTGAACTGTCCCTTTAAAACTGTGGTTTTCAATCTGAAAATTTGAACTTTGAAATGCAGCAAAATACAAATCCTCTTCACATGAGCTTGCGTTTCCTATCTCCAGCATTCACATGCATTGAAATGGAAGTGAATGGAAAGAAAAGTGTAGTGTGATCACCCCTTTAGGGTGATAAAGTTTAGGTTTAGACATTGGCAGGGTGTCACAAAGTCCAGGACCCATTTCACAATGTGTATTCTACATTAATATTTTTAATTTTCAATATCTTACTTGTCTTTCAACAGTATTTGATTAAGCCGCAGGAGTAAAACAGTGAAATCGTACTAAATGGTTAAATTTTAAAGGAATAGTTTGCCAAAAAAGGAAAACTTTTAAGGTTATGCAGCTCTTTTCCATACAACGAAAGTGCAACATCTTTTTATAAAAAACTAAAATAATAAAAAAAACGCTAAAAACACCATATGAGCCAATTATATTCTGGTTACATTTTCTGGTTAAATGTTGAGTGATAGTTCTATTAAAGCAGCAGATGTTTAAGTATTTTTCCATTCTCAAAATTGAAAAGCATAAATCACATTTTATATATGACGTTTACCCATATGACAAAATATAATAATAATTAAAAAAAAATCAATATTAGCTCTAAGAATTATGTCAATTAATTTTCTGAACTGGGTGTGACAGATAAGTGAGACAGAAAATGTGTAGTGCTGCGGGGCCTCCGGGACAGGTTTGAAAACCCCTGTATTAAATAACCATTTTTTTGTATATAACTAATAATATTGTTATAATCTGTGGTGCGGTACTATTTAGGCTATTTGAAGCACATGTCAACAATTTGACCTGATTGCTGTCTTTAATAAAGCCTACACACCCTTTCACTTATAAAGAAACTAGTCACCTAGAGCAGTGTTTCCTAACCCTGGGTCTGGAGTACTGCCAACAATACTCATTTTTGTGGGGTGTTTTTTCTGACGCATGCATTTCAGGTCATGTAGTCTCTACTAACGAGCAGAGGAGTTGAATCAGGTGTGTTTGAGTAGGAAGACAGGTACTCCTGTGCCAGGGCTGGGAAACACCTAGAGTGGTGTTTTATCATCGCCATCATCTCTAAGTCTCCTACGCCTCTCATGCAAACCACTGCTTCCCTCTGATTTGAAGAAGAGCGAGAGGCCTTCCTCTCTTATTAGGAAGTTTTGTCAAAGTTTTCACTGTGATAATGAGGTGGAAATCCCACCCACCGTAACTGACTCTGAACTTTTTTTCTGGGGGCGAGATGAAATGGTTGAAAAAAGAGAAGGAGGGAGAGAGAGACCCAAAGGAAAAAGAGAAAAGGCGAGATATAGTGCAGGTCGATCCAGGTCCTGCCCACGGTATCTGAATACGCCTTATCCTCGCTCCATCACAAAAACCAGTGCGAGAATTAAAGTTTACGACGGCATGACGCAGTCGGCCGACTCGAGCTGGCCTTCGAGAAGAACAGAGCATACTTTGCATTAATCAGCATGTCTATCTGTTGGAGACTTGGAGTTACTCATTCCGTGCCCACATACTGTAAATGACAAACTAAATAAGAGAAGAATCGTTCAAGCATAATGTGAGATCCAGAACGACGCCGATTCCAAAAGAAAGGTTATGATGAAAGGTTCATCAAGTTGACTCCAGGTGACAAATGACTGAAGCTGCTGCTGCGCATGCATGTTCCAGTATCAGTCAGTACCTGAGCGCTCAATTATTCTTTGCTTCCCTCGCTGTCCATCAGTACAGAGGCAAAGAAATGGGCCACTCGGAGTCTAAGGTATCAAACCTAAATAACTGCATATGTCTAAATATAGAGATTCGTACGTGTGAGTCAAGATGTTTAGGGAATATATGAATCACTGGGAGTATATGAATCACATGTGCAAGTGTACTGAACAGCTGCCGACTGAAACTCGCTACATGAAATATTAAGTTTTATTCGTATTAGTAAGCTAATATATTTCCTCTTTATGTAGGTGTGTAACTTTGCCTCATTTATCCTGGTATATCTTTGTTCTTCCTGGAGTGTGCGCACACATTTTCCTAAAGAAAGAAAAAGCGAATGCATAATTCAGTTCATGATTTGATATTTTTATATTTGTCGCTTACCGTTTCTCCCTCCTGTTCTCTCTCATGTACACACACGCTCTCTCGCTTTTTATAGATCTCGAGCCCACATCTCCCAGAGTGGGAGGGGTTTTCACTGGTGTCTTAGAGCTGTCAGGCTTGGCTTCTGTCAGCCTGGAACTTGTGACGTCAAGCTGCTTAATTGGGCTCCTCTTTGTGCGTAGGTACCCCGACATGCCCTGCGCGGCTGACGTGGTCAACGCCTTGGATCAACAGGCGCTTGCGTCCGTGCTGGCCACGTATGGGGAGGAGCGGCACACCAGGAAAATTGCGGCGGCCATCGCACAGGCACGCAGCGTCTACCCCATCGGCCGGACCTTGCAACTGGCCAGCATCGTAGCAGGTACCCCCCCTCATTAATTCCCTACACTCGAGGGAGGCGAGGAGAGAGAGAAGCGATATTAATGCAAACTCTCCCTATGGGACCTATTTGTCCTGGAAAAGGAGAAGGGGAGAAAAGATGGCGTTTTCTAATCCGAAATCTCTGCCGTCCTCCTCCCCCCCCTCCACTCATTTCTCACTGTCTGAGTGTCCGTCAGCAACACATCCCTTGCAACTGACAGGGCTCTTATTAATAAAAAACAAAGCGAGAGAGGAAGCGCTAGCGAAAAAGCTGCAGGTGGGGTTCCGTGCGCTTTTTAGCCCCTTAATTCGTATTTGGACTCACACTCCCATCCTCTCCTACCCCAGACTCCCCCCTCCTTGTATCCTTTGATTTGTTTCTCACACTCGCTCCCTCCCTTTTCGTGCCCTTCACCACACCCCCACCAACACACTTCTCCAAACGCACGCGTCACACGCACCACATTGCGGCAGCTCGATGCTTTTTGATATTATATTTATCGGCTGCTTTATTTTTGCCGGCGCGGTTTCCATAGCCCGACACTGGCGACGAGATAGATAGTCGCTTCAGAAGATGACGGTAGCACGAGGCAAGCACATGCGTCACACCGGGAGAACAGGTGTGACTAAGGGCAGTTGTTTGATCTTCTTTGAAGAGTAGAGCAAGTCAACAACAATGTTTATTCCAATCAATCTGGAAGCTTCTGACTCCCGAGGGTCCCTGGGGGTTGGCGGTGGACTGCCAGCATTACCGTTGCCAAGGGAAGCGATTGATGGAGCAGGAGGAGGGATGATATGTGTGTATTTGTATATGTGTGTATTTATCAGTGCTGATGATGGGGGAATGGGTGGGGTTTAGACACCATAACAATGGGCGTCATGGGAGTTCTCCCTCTTATGTGCTCTTTGTTTCCTTACATGAGCAACTAAAGCCCCATAATGCCTCTCTGCCCTTGCTTTTGGAGGCAGATGAGTGTCAGAACCTCCAGAGTGTCTCCTCCGCCTTGCTTGCGGTGTATCGTTGTAGTCACCAGTCACAATCCTTTGCATAAACACATTGCTTTACATTGCAAAAAAATAAGATTTTTAAAATTCATTTTATAAGAAAATGCTATTTCGGTCTTTCTACTTCAATTTTTTTAATTCAATGTGTTACTTGCTGTTTCTTTGTAATTATTTGTGAAATTTACTAGCAAATCCTGCACGAGTAGGTAAATCCTACACAAATTTTGTAGCTTCTGATTGGGGTTTTAGTCCATGTTAAAACGGGGGATCCGCACTATTTAGGGAAACATATTAGAGAGGAGACGAGGTCACGGCAGTCTAATATTCTCATCAGTATGAACCCAGCTGGCGTGACAGAAGATTATCCAGATTCCCGAAGGAAAGTGTCCCTCGATCCCAATGCACAGATCAGCTTTCTACATATCAGACCAGTTTGAATCATAAAGAGCATCAGCATAAAAGTAGCTTAGAGCCAGTAACTCGCACCCTCACTGACCCTGACAGCCACACCGGCCGCTCTGGTACACCTTGAAGCCGTCAATCTAGCGTTGCCATAAAACATTCAGATTAATTTGGTGCAGCTCACAGGATTTGACAGCATGGTTAAACAGTTGTTTAAGCTGCTGGTCATGCTTTAATATCACTGTAGAGACACTAATCAGCCCACTATTGATTAATGGTTGAAGAGCAAACTTGTTGGAGTGCTGATGAAAATTGATCTTTCGCTTTCTCCTTCCAAGTTTGCGGAGGCCCATATCACAGTTTTGGAATTAAGGCAGTCCTTAAAGTCTATACTTCTGTTAGCTGGAGTTCACTCTCCATTCTCCATTTTTTTAGGCCATTTCTTTGATAAAACAGTGAGTGACTTTTTTTCTCTTTGTTGATTAATTAATTTGTTTACTGGATATTTTACACAAAATTTTATTTTATTTTCAACTGAAAAACTTTCATTTAATCACACTCATGTTGTTGCAAACCTGTAGGACTTACTTTCTTCTTTGGAACACAAAATAATTTTGGCTGAACGATCCCTGTAATAGCCATTGACGAACCTGCTACCTCCTTTGCATTCAGAACAGGGATAACGCTTCCTTATAGTATCTAGCTATTCAATTAGTGTTTAGTGGAATCTTTTTATTCACAGCAGTCAATTGTTGTTTTTGAATAACTTAGGATTTAGTGTCTCATTCAACTCCAGAGCTCCATGCAACAACATATTTCTGGCATTGAGACATTGAGATGAAAATTCAAGGAACAAAATCACGATGCGTCTCAACGTGTCGCGAGAGACTGGCAAGTATACAGAGCTGTGAACAAGTACTACAACTGGCTACACTGTTTGCCTCAAATTGGTAATGGAAAATAACTAACTTAATTCTGCTGTATACAGTGGGGTTCAAAAGTCTGAGAACACATAGAATATCTGGGATTCAAAATCTAATCTAATGTGTTACAATCATGTTTAAGTGAAATCATGTTTTTCCATTCAAGTACAATTCATGATAAATCCACTTGACTTGACCTCACTGTACGTTTTTTAATGAAATACTGCAATATTTTATCATCGGATTTTGTCAGATAAAAAATTTGCATCGCCTTTTTGTTTTATTTTTCATTTTGGCATTCACTGATAAAAAACAAAAACATACAATACGGAAAAACAAATGTAATTTCTACATTATATAATTTAGTTCAGGCAAGAATAAAAAAAAAAGAGTCAATTCTATATTAGTACTCAATTTAAGCTTTTAGAAATTAAAGTTTGTTCTTTAACGCAAGTATATTTTACTTGGAATTGTTTGTTTACAAGGATTCTTTAAGTCAGTTGCTGTTTTGTGACATGTGGAGTTCATTTTCTTCTCAAAATTCATACTAAAACAGTATCAACTGATTGTTACCATTGTGTATTGTGTACCTAGTATTGAGATCTGTGTTCATTTAGGTAATAACTATATTGAGTAGACATATTATCTTAAAAAGGATAGCAAGCTGTCTACCTGATTACTTCCATGTTTGTAAGTGAACCACATGCTTTAATAGCATATTTTTTTCCAGTATTACATTGTTTGAGTAAAGTTTACAAACCATGACTGAGTGAAATGTACTTGAGTATTGCAGCGTAAACTTAAAATAATTAAGTAGAAATTACTTGTCAAGCTCAAACTGGCCACCTTAAATGTACTTGTTTCCTTTGCTATTTGCATAAACTGTGTGTGCAAAAACTTGCAAAAGAAAAATTAAGTAAATTTTACTTATTGTTTTTTTTTCCCAGTGTTGTTCAGTAGCTCTAGTAAACATCTTTTTTAGATTTTCAAAAATTAAAATTCGGTCATCATTTACTCACATGAAGGGTGTCAAATGCACAGAAAACATCATACAAACTGAAATGTATATTTAATCAGAACTAGGTTGACATCAAAAGCTCTCATATGATTCTACAGTTCCACGGTCAGATTTGAACCTGCAGCCTTAATGTTAGTAACCCAATGCCTTCAGATTCTTAACCAATAATTGAAATGTTCTTCATGCTAATTTTCCAATAACAGGCATTTTTAATCACCACAGTCCCTAGCAGCCAATAGCAACGCTGCCCTTTCAGCCTCAAATAACATTCATGAGGTTCTGTGTCCCTATGCAGCCCGTTGCTCAGATAGAGGGATTTACTAGGTAATAATGAAGCATTACTCTTTAAAAAGTCTTGTGCATAACAGCTATTGCCAGCCTCGCCCAGGAACAAGGCACTTGTAACGGCCCTTCCTGAGCTTTCAAAGAAAGCGGCGTAAATTGACACTACAGAATAATATAGGACCCTTCATCTCCGTTCTTCCTGGAAACCTGATGTGATCAGCATAGATTGGGAAATGTTGTGCAAATTTTAGTTAACTCTTCAGGGTAAACAAGAAGATGGAAGGCTTTAATTTCAGTTCTGTCTCTCTCTCTCTTTCACTTATTGCTCTTTTCTTTCCCAGAGGTGAACAAGGAGAAATATGTAAGTGTCCGTGAGACACATTTGCTGGAAGTGAGTCATCAGCGTGTTGTCATAGCGTATGCAGGATTGAGTCTTTTCACCAAACATATTCACCCTTTAGCCATTTCCGTGTGTCATGATAAACGAGGAATAAACCAGTTACTGAGTCACAAACTCCGTCTCACGCCATTTTCAAACATGGTTTATACAAAATTAATCAAGTGCTTAGTTGTACAATCTAACGTTTAAATGTTAAGCGTGTCTTGGCCAGCTCACCTGACCTACGTTATTTCTCTTTTCCTTCCTCAGAACAAAGAGATGGATGAGTCAAAAGTGAGGCATGTTTTAATCTTTTCAACTTTCGATGACTTATGGAGCTATGCATTTTAACAGGATTATGCCTACATATGAATGAATGAATGAATGATGAATTTCATTCATCATTCATTCATTCATTTTAACAGGTCTTTATTTAATATCATAGAAATGTTCTGAATCTCTCTTGTACTAAAATGAGACTTATACAGAGCTCAGGGTGAAGCGTTCAGGACTTTGGTGTGAATGTGCTACAGCTGGAGTGATATGGTCATTGAGATTTTTAATGTAAAGAAGGGTCTCAAACTATTTGTGTGCGTGTATATATATATATATATATATATATATATTTATTTATTTATTTATTTTCCTTAGGGCAATAGACAAGACTATATTATCAAAAACAGAAACATTGCTTTTGAGACATTTAAAACATTTACACAAAACAAATTTTAATGAACATTTAAAAATGTGTAATAATACATTTATATTGCTGTTAAAGTTAATTTTAATTAGAATTTAAACAAAAATTAAACTAATTCTAATAATAATAATAATATTTATAAATAAAATGTTTATATAAATATTTATACAAAAAGTTAATGTGTTAAAAATATCTTCAGATGAAAACAATTATAAATTCTAATATGAATTAATTTATTATACTTTAAGAAAATACTTTATATGTGACCCTGGAGCACAAAACCAGTCATTAGTAGCACAGACATATTTGTAGCAATAGCCAACAATATATTGTATGGGTCAAAGTTATACATTTTTCTTTTATGCCAAAAATCATTAGGATATTAAGTAAAGATCATGTTCCATGAATATATTTTGTAAAGTTCCTACTGTAAATATCTCAAAACTTAATTTTTGATTAATAATATGCATTGCTAAGAACTTCATTTTTTTTTTATTTTTTTATTTTTTTTTAATTGACCCTTGTGACTGATTTTGTGGTCCAGGGTCATATATGTATATACATATATGTAGCAGTGTTTGGTGCTTACAACCGAACAAATCCAGTCATTTCTCAGCTCAGTTAATCAGAACAATGCTCTACAGTAAATACCATCTTTTAAGCATTTGCCTTTGTTTTTATTCTTTGATCAATCAGTCAAATGATGTTTGGAGCCTTGAATTTCAAAATGGTAGTTCTGCCCCTTGTTCATTCCTTAATGCAACACGAGCGCGTGATTAATAGAGAGGAATCACAAAAGGAAATCCGTAATTCAATTCATGGTCAGACAAAGAATGAGCCCTCTATTCAAGCTGAAATGTGCTTGTGCAGAGCCTCATTCAAGAGAGATCTCTCCCTTCATTACAGAAGGATGTCATGCAGTAATCACTTTGATCCATATAAAGACATACCTCCTAAATGTTAAGCGTGTCTTGGCCAGCTCACCTGACCTACGTTATTTCTCTTTTCCTTCCTCAGAACAAAGAGATGGATGAGTCAAAAGTGAGGCATGTTTTAATCTTTTCAACTTTCGATGACTTATGGAGCTATGCATTTTAACAGGATTATGCCTACATATGAATGAATGAATGAATGATGAATTTCATTCATCATTCATTCATTCATTTTAACAGGTCTTTATTTAATATCATAGAAATGTTCTGAATCTCTCTTGTACTAAAATGAGACTTATACAGAGCTCAGGGTGAAGCGTTCAGGACTTTGGTGTGAATGTGCTACAGCTGGAGTGATATGGTCATTGAGATTTTTAATGTAAAGAAGGGTCTCAAACTATTTGTGTGCGTGTATATATATATATATATATATATATATATATTTATTTATTTATTTATTTTCCTTAGGGCAATAGACAAGACTATATTATCAAAAACAGAAACATTGCTTTTGAGCAATGGAAAGCTTATTTATTCCGCTTTCATGTGATGTATACATTTTTTTATTTTTTTATTTTTTTTTAATTGACCCTTGTGACTGATTTTGTGGTCCAGGGTCATATATGTATATACATATATGTAGCAGTGTTTGGTGCTTACAACCGAACAAATCCAGTCATTTCTCAGCTCAGTTAATCAGAACAATGCTCTACAGTAAATACCATCTTTTAAGCATTTGCCTTTGTTTTTATTCTTTGATCAATCAGTCAAATGATGTTTGGAGCCTTGAATTTCAAAATGGTAGTTCTGCCCCTTGTTCATTCCTTAATGCAACACGAGCGCGTGATTAATAGAGAGGAATCACAAAAGGAAATCCGTAATTCAATTCATGGTCAGACAAAGAATGAGCCCTCTATTCAAGCTGAAATGTGCTTGTGCAGAGCCTCATTCAAGAGAGATCTCTCCCTTCATTACAGAAGGATGTCATGCAGTAATCACTTTGATCCATATAAAGACATACCTCCAATTATCAGACCCATGAGCAGCTGGGTGTTACCCTCTAATCCCTGCACTCCCATACAAGACTGCCAACCAATTACATTTCCATTTAACAAAGTGCCATTTTCACTACATTTGACTTGGCTTTCTAATAGCCAGTGTTTGTATAGATGTATACTATAAATATGACCTATTAGGGAATTATTAAATGGCTCAAATTTGATTCAATTATTTAATGTTTTAATGTTTCGTGTTATCTTTAAATGACGTTTAGTAGAGAAAAAAATTGGTGTGGCTTTGTCTGTTTTAAAGTTGACGGATCTTTGCCCATTTACATTGTACAGCTCATTAGGCTTCTGTGTAAACATTGTTTTTAATAAAGTGAGTTCATTTTAAATGTAGAGGTAATTAGGCAGAGGCTGTTCTCATTGTCACACCCATCAGGATTCATGGCCAATTATGGAGAATCAATAGCGATTGCTGCTTGGAATGTGAGGAGAGCACCCATTGAGGTAACAGGAACAGACTGATTGCTGTATTTATTCACCTTGTATTAGTTGCAGTTGAGATTTGATTGTTTGATGCTTTCCTAAATCAGGATTTCTTTTAAATTAGATTGCTGCGATACACATTGTTTTGTGTGATTGTTTACAGCCTGCTAAACCTGAACTTGATTTTATTTGATTGTGCATTATATATATTTTTCCTTTTTTCAAACAATCCAAATCGCAAACTTGCCCTTGTTTAACCCAAACCCCCCCAGGCCTGTCTGTCTGTGTATCCATCTATTTACTATCTGCTCATTTTTTTTATTCCTTTTCATTTTTTCCGTTTCATATTTTCCTGTTCCTCACGTGCTCCCTTATGTCTTGATTTTAAAATAAGAGGCTGGGCAGAGGCATGTGGTCTTATTGATTGGCCAGTGTCTCGTTTCTCCAAGCCCAGAAGTGCAAGACTTGAGAGATGCAACACCTCTCGTTTTCTTTAGCTGTCGATCTCTCCATCTCCTCCACTTATTCATCCAGGTGAAGCTATGGCTTTAACATGTTTCTTCAAATAGTTTTATAAATCGTTAACTTTTTTTTTTTCATATTGAAGCCCTGAAAGGCAAGGTGAAGAAAAAACGGAAATATACTTGGTTATAATTGATTTTGTCAATGTTTACTTTGTTGTTCCAAACCTGTATGACTTTCTTTTTGTGTGTGTGAAAGAAAATATTTTGAAAAATATCTCATGTTTTTTGTCCTACAGTTACAGTCAGTGGGTTCAAATGTTGTTTTGGATTTCATTGTGGGTAGAAAAAATTTTTCAGATATCATCTTTGATGTTCCACTGAAAAAAGAATGATAGTTTTGGAATGACATGAGGGTGAATAAATGATGACAGAACTGACATTTTTAAGTGAACTATTAAGGAAATATATGAATAAATAGCTTTTGGCTGGCTTTGTTGCTTAATTAGTTTTTTTTTTTTTTAGGTTTATCAAAAGCCTTGAAGGGTGAGGCTGAAAAAAACTGATGTGCTAACATTTAACGTGTGAATCACAGTGAGTTCAGTAGATGTAACCTTTTTTTTTTTTTTTATGTACAGTATATGTGTTACGTAATGGTGTAAAGTGTATCAAACATATCTAATAGTAGTCTAATGTCTAACCTAAGTGTAATGGATTTTTTGGAATATGCTGCAAAACGAGTAGTTCAAAAAAGGGTGATTTTGACCACTCTATAGATAAAAAAAAAAAAGCCATTTTGTACAGACGAATATACAGGTATTTCAACAAAAACATTTATTCAGTACTCCTTCAGACTTTTATTTAGAAACCTAAAATGTATTTTTTTTTAAGTATAATATAATATTAAAAATTTCTATATAATTATCTGGATTTTGATACTATTCAGAACCAATGTGTATTCTGATGGACGCCAGAAATAACCATAAAAGCATTATCATAAGCTTACTTTGATTTACAGTAGATATATAGTGTATGGTCCTACTTTTGTGTTCCCTACCTTCTAATAAGAAAACTTCTGCATGTTGTCAGTTCAGGGAACAACATCACCTCCCCTTGCTCAGACTGAGCCAAATCATCTCAGCACAATATACAGCATGGACCCATCTCTCCATGAGCTTTGGGAGCTTTGTAGAACAGCCTGTTTATTTTCAAAAGCACTGTGTCATCACACATACTGATCTGGAAGAAGCCCCTGTGTGTCCCTAGCAGTGGTCATCTTTCTGTGCGTTTGTCTCTTTGTTTATATGCTCTTAAAGTACACAGCACCTTTTCCTTCTTGATGAGGAATTTGCTTCTTGATTGTTTTTGCGAAAAGCACCCATTGCACCTCAATCCATCATACTGAATAATATAGTTCATAAAGCCAGAAAACAGTCGGCACATGAGATCTTAAGTCAAATTATTCAGCTAAAAGGTCCATTGGTCACATACTGTTGTTTCAAGTGTAAAGACAATGGTTTTTGTTGTCTTTTTTCAATTTTAAAACTTGAAATGTTGTACCATGGGACACCTGTTTTGTTTGCAATGATTAAAAAAATATAAGTACACCTGAAAAAGATTTTTCAAAGTTGTAAATTTGTTTCAGTTTTTGTGAAATTTACTATATAAATATTTATATTTAAAAAGCGCTAACATAGTGATTCCCTGCAAAAGGGGACTTAGAAATGTTTGCTTTGATAAACCTTTTAAACTGAAAAATAACTGATTAATTAATATCTTGATTCATCATTTTTTTTAGTGTCTTTTTAAGGAAAGAAACGTGTGTATTGTGTAATTTTTTAAAAAATGTATATGGATGACATTTAATGTATGTATACTACTTGGTGAGTCAGTTTTTCACAAACAGTATTTCTTTTTCCTTTATTTTTAAAAAAGTAGAATGAATAATATTAAAAATATTTAATGGTATGTCTTCATGATATTCAGTTCAAGGGGTACTTGAACATTTTTGATGGGATACATAGCACAAGAAAACGTTGAAAATCACTGCTATAAAACATCTATGAACTATTAAATAGGAACCAATTTCAAAAATACATGTGAATCAATTAATATGTCTGACTATAAACTAAAACAAAAGTCTGGTGCAGGTGAACAATTCAAATTGTGGATTTATTTTTTAAAGGAACCTTGCAAAAGCCTCTTAACTTAACAACTAATCTAATCCTCTCTTTGATTTTAGGAGCGTTTCCAGTGAGCGCGTTGTACGCCCGGCGTGACCGCCTGCAGCGCCCTTCACACGTTGCCACCAAAACCTTCCAGGCCTTACGGATATTCGTGAATGACGAGCTCAATGAGTTGCACGCCGGCCTGCGTGTGGCGCAGACCCTGCTCCGTCCCAAGGGGCGACTCTGTGTTCTCACTTTCCACTCCTTGGAGGACCGGCTGACCAAGCGTTTCCTCCGTGGAGAGGACCTGGCCGCCCCACCGCGCCGCAGCCTTCGCCAGCGAGCCAAAGCCCGGCTTGGGTTAGAGGGAGAGGAGCATGAGGAGGAGGAAGAGAACGAAGAAGAGGAGAAGGGACGAGAGAGCAAATATTGGGTCAGTCTGAAGAAGGTGATAAAGCCAAGTGAGGAAGAGGTGCAGGAGAACCCAAGAGCTCGATCAACTAAACTCAGAACAGCAGTAAGACGATAGAGAACAACGCAAACACAAACAGATGCTTTTTACTAGATTACTAAGGAAAGAAAGTACAAAGCTGTCACTGGGGAGGTAGCCTAAGGTACAAAAGCTAAAATGTAGATCTTTGCACCTTATTGACCCCTAAATGGTTCGTATTAGTATTTTAAAGGTACATATTATTTCCTAAAGTGTACATATTAATACCTTTTGAAAGGGTACCAGCCCAGTGGCAGTTTGTCCTTTTTTTCTGGGTGTGTACACGTGTAGTTTTATTCACATCAGTGTGTTTGTCATTTTGAAGTAGTACAAAATAAACAATAGAACTCCAGAATCTGTTTTTTTTGTTTTTTTTGTTAGAAATGTCAGTGGTGTGGGAATGAATTCTGAAAGAATTTCATGTACACTTTGCATAACACTTGAAATATCTGCCTGAGGGTGTTATTTTTTTATTTTATTTTTTTTTATAAATTTTCTCTGTTTTATTTATATTTTGTTTTCAATTTGTTTTATTTCTAATTTATGTTCAGTTTGTTTTTTCAGTGTAGTTTTCATTTTCACTTTATCAGATTTTTTTTAAAGGGGTCATATGATGCTGCTAAAAAGAACATTATTTTGTGTATTTGGTGTAATGAAATGTGTTTATGCGGTTTAAAGTAAAAAAACCACATTATTTTCCACGTACTGTACGTTATTGTTTCTCCTCTATGTCCCGCCTTTTTGAAACGCGTCGATTTTTACAAAGCTCATCGATCTGAAAAAGCGAGGTGTGCTCTGATTGGCCAGCTATCCAGTGCATTGTGATTGGCCGAATACCTCAAGCGTGAGACGGAAATGTTACGCCTCTCACATACTGTTGATGCCGTGTCCGGCCGGAGCGACGAGACAAAAACATTAAAACCCATTACAAAAGAGGCATTTGTTGCATCCAGTGGGGACATAAGTACTGATTATAATGACTTATACTGTCGTTTTACGCGTTGCGTTGCATTGCGCCGCGTAAACATAAAACCCTGTCTGCATTTGTGATCAGAGAAATGACAAACAACAAATGCTAACGTTAATCCACACTGCCCAAAACTCACGTTTGAATCATCAGTGGCAACGAAAAACACAGCGGCCTACCGTGAGGGGAAGCCCCGGCTTAGCGTGCACTGAGGCCAGGATAGAGTGAGCTGAGGCAATATCTTGATTCATCATTTTTTTTAGTGTCTTTTTAAGGAAAGAAACGTGTGTATTGTGTAATTTTTTAAAAAATGTATATGGATGACATTTAATGTATGTATACTACTTGGTGAGTCAGTTTTTCACAAACAGTATTTCTTTTTCCTTTATTTTTAAAAAAGTAGAATGAATAATATTAAAAATATTTAATGGTATGTCTTCATGATATTCAGTTCAAGGGGTACTTGAACATTTTTGATGGGATACATAGCACAAGAAAACGTTGAAAATCACTGCTATAAAACATCTATGAACTATTAAATAGGAACCAATTTCAAAAATACATGTGAATCAATTAATATGTCTGACTATAAACTAAAACAAAAGTCTGGTGCAGGTGAACAATTCAAATTGTGGATTTATTTTTTAAAGGAACCTTGCAAAAGCCTCTTAACTTAACAACTAATCTAATCCTCTCTTTGATTTTAGGAGCGTTTCCAGTGAGCGCGTTGTACGCCCGGCGTGACCGCCTGCAGCGCCCTTCACACGTTGCCACCAAAACCTTCCAGGCCTTACGGATATTCGTGAATGACGAGCTCAATGAGTTGCACGCCGGCCTGCGTGTGGCGCAGACCCTGCTCCGTCCCAAGGGGCGACTCTGTGTTCTCACTTTCCACTCCTTGGAGGACCGGCTGACCAAGCGTTTCCTCCGTGGAGAGGACCTGGCCGCCCCACCGCGCCGCAGCCTTCGCCAGCGAGCCAAAGCCCGGCTTGGGTTAGAGGGAGAGGAGCATGAGGAGGAGGAAGAGAACGAAGAAGAGGAGAAGGGACGAGAGAGCAAATATTGGGTCAGTCTGAAGAAGGTGATAAAGCCAAGTGAGGAAGAGGTGCAGGAGAACCCAAGAGCTCGATCAACTAAACTCAGAACAGCAGTAAGACGATAGAGAACAACGCAAACACAAACAGATGCTTTTTACTAGATTACTAAGGAAAGAAAGTACAAAGCTGTCACTGGGGAGGTAGCCTAAGGTACAAAAGCTAAAATGTAGATCTTTGCACCTTATTGACCCCTAAATGGTTCGTATTAGTATTTTAAAGGTACATATTATTTCCTAAAGTGTACATATTAATACCTTTTGAAAGGGTACCAGCCCAGTGGCAGTTTGTCCTTTTTTTCTGGGTGTGTACACGTGTAGTTTTATTCACATCAGTGTGTTTGTCATTTTGAAGTAGTACAAAATAAACAATAGAACTCCAGAATCTGTTTTTTTTGTTTTTTTTGTTAGAAATGTCAGTGGTGTGGGAATGAATTCTGAAAGAATTTCATGTACACTTTGCATAACACTTGAAATATCTGCCTGAGGGTGTTATTTTTTTATTTTATTTTTTTTTATAAATTTTCTCTGTTTTATTTATATTTTGTTTTCAATTTGTTTTATTTCTAATTTATGTTCAGTTTGTTTTTTCAGTGTAGTTTTCATTTTCACTTTATCAGATTTTTTTTAAAGGGGTCATATGATGCTGCTAAAAAGAACATTATTTTGTGTATTTGGTGTAATGAAATGTGTTTATGCGGTTTAAAGTAAAAAAACCACATTATTTTCCACGTACTGTACGTTCTGTACGTTCCTCTATGTCCCGCCTTTTTGAAACGCGTCGATTTTTACAAAACTAATCGGTCTGAAAAGCGAGGTGTGCTCTGATTAGCCAGCTATCCAGTGCGTTGTGATTGGCCAAATTCCTCAAGCGTGTGACGGAAATGTTACGTCC